ACAGAGGAGGACAGGGTGGTGCTGATGGGAGTCGATCTCCATCCTCCGCACATTCCCTGTATCACAGAGGAGGACAGGGTGGTGCTGGTGGGAGTCGATCTCCATCCTCCACACCATTCCCTGTATCACAGAGGAGGACAGGGCGGTGCTGGTGGGAATAGATCTCCATCCTCCACACATTCCCTGTATCACAGAGGAGGATGGGTTGGTGCTGTGCTTAGACTTAACCCAACACAGAGAAGGTAAGGATGTTATGAATTCTTAGTGGACTTGGGCAATATACTTTCTTTGTTTGACCTGGCAGTAGCAACACTGGCCTTTTCAGGCTTTGGAAGTACACCTTTGACAGCAGGCTTCTAAATACAGGAGCGGAGGCTTAGCATGCAGCTTACTGAGAAGCACAGTAATTGGGAACCTCTCAGGCTGGCCAGCTTCCAAGAGCAAGAGGGCAGGACTGTGCATGCCCAGTTGTTCTTACTAAGTTGGCAATGGGAGAAGTTTCCACTTTCCCCAGGGACTGGGTGACCAGCTGGTGGAGAGGAGCCAGGATGCTGTGCTAACATGTTCCTCAACATGCAAACACATACCTGGTGTGTGGAGAAGTCATTCCTGTAGCACAAATAATAAAAACCCAGAGACAGATACTGGGGTTCAAGCTGAAGATCAGAAAAAGCAAAGCGGCCACCCACTAGAGAAACTTTTTACCTCTACTAAATCTTCACACCGAATCCTCAGACCCCACTCTCCAGTGAGTTCCTGTGTCTTCCCCTTTATTCCTCTCTGCCCAGCCATATCACTCTTGTTTCTGTCTCCCTAGTGCTGGGGTTAAAGGTGTGTGACTCCCAGACACTGGGGTTAGAGGTGTGTGACTCCCAGACACTGGGGTTAGAGGTGTGTGCCACCACTCCCTGGCCTCTAGTGGCTTAGCTTTGTACCCTGGTCCTCAAGCTCTATTATTAAAACACAAATAAAATGCACTACACAATCCCCTTCTAAACGTGACATACAGAGCACCTGAGTGTAGCGGCACGTGGTTAAGTGTGTTCCTCTGTGTTTCAGGTACATTGAGCATTACTTGGAAGACTTCCTGGACTCTGCTAACAGGTACTTCATGGTTGGCCACAGGGTCATCTTCTACGTCATGGTGGACGATGCCTCCAGAATGCCCTCCATCCACCTGAGTCCTCTGCACTCGTTGCAAGTGTTTGAGATCAAGTCTGAGAAGAGGTGGCAGGACATCAGCATGATGCGCATGAAGACCATCGGGGACCACATCCTGGCCCACATACAGCACGAGGTCGACTTCCTCTTCTGCATGGATGTGGATCAGGTCTTCCAAGACAGTTTTGGTGTGGAGACTCTGGGCCAGCTGGTAGCTCAGCTGCAGGCCTGGTGGTACAAGGCTGATCGTGACGAGTTCACCTATGAGAGGCGGGAACTGTCGGCGGCATACATCCCATTTGGACAGGGAGATTTTTATTACCACGCAGCCATTTTTGGAGGAACACCCATCCATATTCTCAACCTCACCCGGGAGTGCTTTGAGGGAATCCTCCAGGACAAGAAAAATGACATAGAAGCACAGTGGCATGACGAGAGCCACCTCAACAAGTATTTCCTGTCCAACAAACCCACGAAAGTCCTCTCCCCAGAGTACTGCTGGGACTATCAGATAGGCTTGCCTTCGGAAATTAGAAATGTTAAGATAGCATGGCAGACTAAAGAGTATAATTTGGTTAGAAGTAATGTCTGACTTCAAATTGTGCCAGTAGATTTCTAAATTTGACAGAGAATTATTCTGGCTAACTCCTCAAGAAAGTAATAATGGTTAATGTTAACTTAAAAACCAAAATCAAAACCCACCAACATGGCAAACACGCGCTATTTCTCCATGTAACTTTGAGCCTTGTAATATGTGAGATAGAGGCTCTGGTAAGTAATCAAGTGTAAATTCACAGTGATTTCTTATATATTCTGGGCGTGGGGAAGTGCTGAAATCAAAATTAATGTGCCATAGGTCAAGAAAAAGCCAGAATGTTCTACCCAGTATGTTAGGCTGCTTACTGGAAAATAGGGTGCTAAGAGAAATGCTGGATCAGAGTGGGGTGCACTGTGCCCTCGGTTCACTGTCTTCCTGGTTGTGGGGATGCTAGAGAGATGTCACAGCACAAGGCCGTAAGAGGACGCCAGCCAGCATGGTCCTCAAAGGCTCCACAGCTGGTGGCTTCAGGCCACCGGTGGTCCAGGCCCCACTAAGCTATTGTTTGGCTTCTGTGCACAAAGAAGGTCGAGAGCCCCGATGGGTACCATGGTGGCACGTGCTCAGAGTCCCAGTAATGTGGGGCTGACCACTCAGAGACTGTGCTACGCTGGAGGGACGTGACACGGCCTTGTGCCTGAACTAAGTTGCAGCTGCAGGCAGTGTTCGTAACAATGGCTACTAGCAGGAATTGAAAGGAAGGTGCGTTTTGTTTTGCCCAAGCCATATTCAGTGTTGAACACTGGTGAGGGGAGGGGGTGGCTTTAGGGAGAGAGAATGCTTTTCCACCGGTGGTTCTACCACCTGCTCTGAACCTCAAGGTTCTCCGCCTGGAGAATTGACAGGAAGAGAAAGCCCGGGGTCACGTGACCTCGTTTTCCCCTGCTCCGTCTACACTATGCAAGTGCAGCGGCCGTCTGTACTGACTTTATAACAGCCAGAGACCCAGTCACTGTAACTGAGCTCCTCCTCTGAGAGACGCTTAAGATCTATATCAGTGGCTCTCAAACTTCCGCTGTGACCCTTACAGTGGGCACACATCAGATGTCTTACATATCAGATATTTACATCATCATTCATAACAGTAGCAAAATTATAGTTATGAAGAAGCACCAAATCATTTCTTGGTTGGGGTCAGCGCAGCATGTTATGGCACTGGGGAGGCTGAGACCACCGCTGCATGTGGTGACTTAAGCCGGTCAGTGTGAAGGGCTGTCGGGCTGGATTTCCATATCTGCATATTTATATTTCCATATATGCATATATTTATATTTTGCTGTCTTCCAGTTGTCATCTGTTTCCATTTTCAAGCAGTTTATTTAAAAAGCCATTGCACTGGTTGACGTACAGTGTGAAGGGCTTCAATGAAAAAGCATCTTCCATTTTGTCTACTTTGCACCACCTCTTGTTCTTCAGTTGTTAAAGGAAAAAGTCACATGCTCAGCAGCAAGAAAACCCCACAAAATTCCCGACTTGGTGGGCATCGCGAAAGGAAGTGGTGAGCACACATCGGCCCCGGATTCCGCCTCCCTGTCGCTGAGGCTGTGCTGCGCCAGGCTCAAGTGGGAGAGTTGAATGTCTTAAGTCCTGAACCAAAGAAACGATCAATTCTGAAAGTGTGGGGAAAAGCTGAAGAAGTTTTGAGGGAATTTCTTGATTTTTAAAAGTTTATCTAAATTTAAATCCTTAATGAGTAAATTTAGAATGTTATTAAAGATAATGTTTAAACATTTTTTTAAACAAAAATTCTGATTTACAATTGAATAAATTATTTTCTCAGTATATTCTGGTCTGGTCATGGATTATGCATTTTCTCCTAAAGATGTTCAAAAGTATCAATTATGATTGTCTGTAATCATACAGGATTTTAGGACCTTAACTGTAGAAAAGCTGTCATGATCTCCTGGACCTGTCCTGGTACAGACACAGGGCTACAAAGAGCAGACTTGTCTGTCACTCCCAAATTGTAAAGCTCTCTCTCTCTCTGTCCCCCTCTCTCCCGCGTGTGTGTGTGTGTGTGTGTGTGTGTGTGTGTGTGTGAGTGAGTGTGAGTGTAGAGGCCAGGAGTTGACCTTCAATCTCTTCCTCAGTACTTCTCCACCTTATCTTTGGAGCCAGGATCTCATTGACCATGAATGGAGCTCACTGATTTGGTTAGACTAGCTGGCCAGCAAGCTTCAACAAGGTTCTGCCATTTCTACCTCTACAGCTGCCTGCCCTCATACTCAGGAATCCAGTTGATCAACTCAGCCATTTTCCCAGCCTGGGCATGCTCCCAATATAAACGACATTGTCTATAAGGTAGTGACTAGATTGGGTTAGCCGAAGTAACAAGACCACTCTAACTGGCTGGTACGGCCAATGTGAGGTCTAAGACTGACTAAAACGGAGAGACAAAGCAGCCCCAGCATTTCTCCTCTTCGTGACTATAGGTGCAGCGTGACTGAGCTGTCTCACGTCCCGATGCCACAACTTCCTCCTCCAGGGTCTGGCAAGCAGAACCCCTCTTCCTGTGGTTTGCAAGCTGAGAACTCAAGGGTTGTGGCTTGTGTTCAGACTCAGGCTGTAGCTGAAGCAGACAGAGTTTGGTGCCAGCTCGGGGGGGCAGTAGGCCTGGCATGTGTTTGCCCTCTCTGCAAAGCAGTGGCTCTCCGCTTGGGATTCACTCCCCTCTCTGCTCTTGCAGCCTTTTGGCAGTGGCAGCATCTGCATTTCTTGCTTCTCGCAACTGGTGTGTGAGTGTGGATGCTACTGGCATTTAGTGGGTAGATATAAGGAGCACCTCTAAATGATTCACAATGCACAGATGCACGGGGCACTAAACCCCACCCCAAAAAAATGTCCTTAGTGCCAGTCTCGGAGCCTACACTAGCAGAAAGCGTCTTGTTCTTGTGGGAAATGGTCTGATTGAGTGTCAGGAGTTCTTTTTTTTTTTAATTTATTAGATTTTTTTTTAAAAAAAAAAACAATCCAAAGTCCCACTCCCTTCCTTCCTCCCATTCCCTCCACACACCCTCCCACCCCACCCCCATCCAATCCTCAGAGAGGGTAAGGCACATTGCTTTGTGGAAGGTCCAAGGCCCTCCCTACTATATCTAAGCTGAGCAAGGTATCATCCAAAGAGAATAAGATCCCAAAAAGCCAGTACATGCAGTAGAGATAAATCCCAGTGCCACTGCCAGTGGCCCCTCAGTCTGCCCCAGCCATGCAACTGTCAACCACATTCAGAGGGACTAGTTTGGTCCTATGCTTGTTCCTTCCAAGTCCTGCTGGAGTTGGTGAGCTCCCATTAGCTCAGATAAGCTGTTTTAGTGTATGAACCCTTCATGGTCTTGACCTCTTTGCTCATATTCTCATTCCTTCTACTCTTTAGCTGAACCTTGGGAGCTCAGTCCAGTGCTTCATTGCAGGTCTCTGCCTCTGTTTCCATCAGTTGTTGGACTAAGGATCTATGGTGATATTTAAGATATTCATCAGTCTGACTACAGGGCAAGGCCAGTTTGGGCACCCTCTCCTCTATTGCTTAGGGTCTTAGCTGGGGTCATCCTTATGGATTCATGGGAATTTCTCTAGAGTCAGGTTTCTGCTAACCCTATGATGGCTCACTCAGTCAAGATGTCTCTTTGCTTGTTCTCATCTCTGTCCTTCCTCCATCTCAACTAAACCATTCCCTCAAGTTCTCCTCAACCCTCCCCTTTTGCCCTTCTCTTCCCCTTCTCCCCCAACCCCCATGCTCCCAATTTTGTCAGGCTATCTTGTCTGTTTCCAATTTACAGGTGGGTCTACATATGGGTTTTTTTTGGGGGGGTTCACCTTATTACTTAGCTTCTCTAGAATCATGAACTATAGGCTCAATGTCCTTTGTTTATAGCTAGTATCCACTTATGAGTGAGTACATACCATATTCATCTTTTGGGTCTGGGTTACCTCACTAAGGATAGTGTTTTCTAATTTCATCCATTTGCATGCAAAATTCAAGATGCCATTGTTTCTTGCCACTTTTGAGTAGTACTCTAATGTGTAAAGGCAGCCTATGAATGGGAAAAGATCTTCACCAACCCAACATCAGACAAAGGACTGATCTCCAAAATATATAAAGAACTCAAGAAATTAGACATTAAAATTCTAAATAACCCAAGTAAAAATGGGGTACTGAACTGAACAGAGTTCTCAACAGAAGAATCTCAAAAGGCCAAAAGATACTTAAGGAAATGTTCAACATCCTTAGCTATCAAGGAAATGCAAATCAAAACAACTCTGAGTTACCATCTTACACCTGTCAGAATAGCTAAAATAAAAAACACTAATGATAGCTTATGCTGGAGAGGATATGGAGTAAGGGGTACACTCATCCATTGCTGGTGGGAATGCAAACTTGTACAACCACTTTGGAAATCAGTATGGTGGTTTCTCAGAAAATTGAGATTCAATCTACCTCAGGATCCAGCAATACCACTTTTGGGCATATACGAAAAGATGCTCCATCATACTAGAAAAGCATTTGTTCATCTATGTTCATAGCAGCATTATTTGTAATAGCCAGAACCTGGAAACAACCTAGATACCCCTCAACTGAAGAATGGATAAAGAAAAAGTGTCAGGAGTTTTAGAGCTCACTTTCTTTCTAGAATCCAGAGCTCAGATAAAGGCATATCCCCTAGTGGACACCAGAGGGCAGGAGTTCCAAAGATACACAGTTTCTGAAGTGACTAAAGATTACAGTGATTAAAAACCCTGTTGCTATTGAAGGTGGCATATTTGTAGAAACGGTGTTGATTCTGCATATAAATGAAAGTAGCCCTGCAAGCTTAAGGGTGCCACTGTGAAAGTTATGCAAAGTCAGAACATTTACATGACTTGGCTGTGACTGTCCAGAGGGAAGGAGGTTCTGGTCTCGGCTATGAAGACCAGGAGCAGCCTTGGCGTGTTCAAGTCCCCAGGACTTACTGGCAGGCTGGTGCAGTGATCTACTGGTGACAAGGGAGAGGTGCTAACGAGCAGGCTTGGGAGAACCTGACATGGGTGACATCACTTGCCTTTGAAGCCCTCATGGAAATCTTTTTCCTTCCCCTCCTTTCTCTTTTGTGTCATTGTGTTTGTGACCCTGTGAACACTTTGCTATGGCATCTCTGTAACCCAGAAAGGACCTGGAGGCTCTCAAGGCTGAAAACAGTGCTGTCCTAAGAGAGCTGCTGTAAGTGGGACCTGTTGGTTGGTTCTTAACTCTTTGATCTTAGGGGAGCCCTCCACCCAGCTCCCAAATAATCACATGGAGATTTTTTTTTCTTGCTTATGAATATCTGCCTTTATCTTGGCTTGTTTCTATCCAGCTTTTTGTAACTTAAATGATCCCATCTGCCTTTTGCCTCTGGGCTTTTATCTTTCTCTATTTCTGTATCCCTTTCTTTCCTCCTTCCTCCGTGGCTGGCTGTGTAGCTGGGGACTGGCCCTGACATCCTCCTCTCCTTCTGCTTTTTCTCACTTCTTCTCTTTCACTCCCCCAATCTCTTCTCTTCCCAGATTTTTCCTCCTATTTTTTTCTCTCTCCCCACCAACACTGCCTATCCTTTCTCCTGCCTTGCTATTGGTCATTCAGCTCTGTATTAGACCAATCGGGTGTTTTAGATAGGCAAAGTAATACAGCTTCACAGAGTTAAACAAATGCAGCATAAAAGAATGTAACACATTTTTGCATCATTAAACAAATGTTCCACATCACATAAACAAATGTAGCATGTCTTAAAATAATATTTATTCTACAACAGTGACCACCAACTCTATGGTGTAGCTGAACTGGGTGTCCACCCTCAAGAAGTAGCTGCCACTTCTGGCTGTGAATCCAGGTATCATTTCCACACATCTAAAATACATCCTACCATGATCCAAAGTTGTTCTGCAACCTTTCAGCACAAGCCCCCCTCTCAGGGGATACAGGGTAGTCTGCAGATGTAGCAAGGGATGGATTTCTTTGAGTATTTAACAATTGCTTCTCTGGGTCTTGTAGGAAGCTCATTTGACTATTGGAGTTTTTAGGGTCAGAGTCTGGGCCCTGGCAGCTCCAACCAGCTAAGCTTGGCCACACATTTGCACTGGGCTAATTAAAGAAATAGGTAGGTCATGGTGAAAATCACAGAAAGCAGATTTATTCAGTGCGGCCACATTAGGAAGAGGACCAGATAAAGAGGTCCAATGGCATCCGTCCTCAAGCCCTTCTTAGGAGTTCTGACAGGTTTGTGTTTAAATAGAAAGCAAGGAGTATGCATAGCTAGGCGTCCCTGGCCAAGGTGGGGTTTTACCGTTGTCAGCGTCCCAGCTCCAGCCCACCATCCTGAAGGACGATCTGACATGCTGTGGAACTTGTGGAAGCTCTTTCCAGTCTTTCCACTTTCTCAACATGAGATTCTTGAAGAGGACATGCCAGTTCCTTAGGGTGCGCTGTCTCGGAAATCTGACCGGCAAAGGCAGGGGCATGTGTGTCCTTCTTGGACAGCTACAGGTGTGTTCTTCAGTTTGTGAAGAGGACAGTAAGCTTAAATCACTCCTACAGTTAGTGCAGAGGCATGGAGGAAAGGGGAGGCAATCATAGTAATTAGTGCGGGGTTAAAGGGGAGACGCATTGGTGATCTGCTCCAAGGATGCTACGGTTTGGATACCGGTCTACCCGTAAAGCTCACGTTGAAATCTGGGCCACTGGGGGCAGTGTTGAGTTGTGTGGGGCCACGAATGGGGGGATTAATACCTTTTGAGGAAGGAACCCATTGCTCAGGAGATTGGTTTCTGTG